GGCAATATCCTTATCAAAAAGGTTTTCTGTAACTTTTTACATTGTTCGGCCGTTCTCAGTTAGAATTTACACCCTTAGTTTTTACTTGTCGCCACCGTCTATCCTCATTATTATAGGTTATTTGCCTGTAAGTCTATGCTGGTTAAAGAAGGTTGATGTTACCTTAAATAACACACAATAACTCGCCATTTGATCATGAATAATTGTTTAATAATATTCACCTAAAGTTACGAAAATGACAGGTTCGTGATTGTCGCCGACCAATTTATAAAAAGTGAACGTGTATTTAGATGCTTTAATTGTATTGTTTTCGTTTTGTTTAATGCCGTATTATTTTGGAACAATTCACGATTATAAATTTGTAAATTAGATCTCAGTAACAATAACTCATAAAAAATGGTAAGGGATTAGTGTTTGTCGCCGGACAGTATGAAATGTTCGTTATCATTTTAACCATATATTGCAAGTGAAGTGTTTTTATCATTGAAACAACATTACATGTTCTTTTTTGTATTAATATCACAATATAATACTTTCATATTATCACCATGTTCATAGTGTGCACAATTTCTGTATTATTTATGTAGAATTTAACGCTGTGATGTGGTTTGGGTTAAAATTGAAAGGTTCGATATCTGATTTTAAGGGTTTATGACTGCAATATACACTCCCAGCACATGAAATGCTCTAAGATGCGTAAAAATTAGTATATTATGCCAAAAATGAAACATTTTGTAGCTGTATAAACGACATTATTGAAACTGAAATATGCTGAGAAAAGGTTCGTGATGAAAGGTTCGTGCGGTGATATATTTTACTCGATGCCGCATACACTATGTTTGTTTGTAAACGGCTGCAGTTCACAAACATATGTACTATGAAGTCATTTGGGTTGAAACGTTTCAATTATTTCCATAATGGTTGCTTATTATTCGCAGCGCATGTTATAAACATGATCGAGAATTCCCATCAAAATCCTTTGGCAAGTGATTTTGATACTTTTCATGATTATTAAATTTCAAGAAATTTTTCTGTTGCCTACTGAATCACAAACGATGTTGCTTTCAAATGAAATAAGCGAATTTATATTTTTATGATGTTTAACAATACCATGTCGGATTACAAACAAGGAAAGGTTCGTGACCATTAGTCACGAACCTTTCCTATGCTAATTTATAAGAACAAAATAATATATCTAATCCTGTAATGTATATAATGTTTTTTAAGAAAAATCTTGTGAGTATATCTTGTTTATTCAGAAAAAGAACATCAAAAGAATGTCTGATTTTTACAAGACTGTACAATTGAAAAAGATGTATGTAAAAATAAACTACGTACTCGCCTGAAAAGCTTGTTTTGTATAAAAAAACATATAAACATTATATTTGTGTGATTATAAATTCAAAATATGAAGTGAATTTAAAACAATTACATAAAGATAGATAATTATGATGAGGGAAACATGGTAAAATAAACATTTAACTCAATGAAAGGTTCGTTGTCTTGGGCCACGAACCTTTCAATAAAAAAAACGTCTTTTTCAAGCTAGACGAATGTAGCTTTGGAATTACTTTTAGTGCAGACAATTATGCCAAAGTCTAAACCTGAAAAACATGCGGGAATTCAGTAAAGGAATAAAACAAGAAGATTCGTAAAAAATATCAAGTATATATTATTACAAGCATGAAAAAATTTGTTGCTTCTTCAATGTAGTGAAATTGTGATTAACCTTTTGAAAACTAATATTTGCGTGACATTGCAATGTCCAGTAGGTGAAGAAAAGATATGGCTTAACCCAAGGACTTACCCTAAAAGATAATGAAGCCAAGAGAAACAAGATATTCGCGGAGGTCATTTAAATAATTGGGAGGTGACGTTACATCAAATTGGTAAATTCTTTGTTTGCTGCAAAAAAATAGTTTCAGTGAATAACGAACATATCATTAGCGAAATTTACACCGATCCTATAATTTGATATGCTTGCGTTATATAGCTAATATTTTATACTAGCTGAATGTTCTCTTCGTAAAAAGCTTATTTTTATTTGTTTTAAAAATAGAATCTAGTATTATTACCATATTGATACGTTTTCATTGGATTGAATTAGTTGTTACAGAGTTCAGAAAACATTTATAAATTGTTTTACTACAGAAGCCATTCCAATTTAATATAATTTTTGAGAAATGAAAAGATTACTATAGCTATCATTAGGTAATGAATATAATTGTATTCGAATGTCTATATCCGAACTTTATATCTGAATATAAATGTATCTATATTAGCATCAAAATTTTGATTTGACAATGAAAGGTTCGTTATTTTATATACCATATCTGAATTGAAAAAGAAAGTGAATATATGATTAAAATCTTAGCACCAGCAATGTATTTGATCTGGTAAACTGTTCTACTTCTTGATACATGTTTATCTTCTAATTTAGGTGTTGTTGTTTCATTAGTTTTAGACTGATATGCTGTATTGCTATGTCTTTAGTTACTATTATTTTACATTAAATACTATTCAATGCTTTATTTTACTACAAATTTTGAAACAGTATACTATAAAATCAAGAAAGATAATGGGTTTTATACAAAATATCATTGTCTGATGTCTAAATGTATGCTTTGTGGTATTAAGTGGGCTTCTTTTTTTGTTTGCGTTTATGGTTGAAAGGTTCGTTAGCTTTACATAGTACTTAAATTTTAGCAAGGTGATCATTTACCTAATTATAAAGCATATACAACGCATACAATTGCTAGCAATGATACTACGGTTTTTATTTATAACAAGAACTATACTAATTACACTGGGTTGTAGCTTTTATAATAATGAGACAAATCGTAATCACAGTAAAGCAGTACATCTTGATTTGCACTTTTTGCATATGAGTTTTTAAAAAGGTATATAAGCTTAATTAGACAAGTTATTCGTAATATCAATTGTACAATCAGAAATCTATGTATCATGTGATATTTAAAAGTAAATTCCAATAAGATATCATCAATGTAATTATATGCAGTCCCTTTTAAAGTAAAAGGTACTTTGTCACGAACATTTCTGGCATTTTAAAAAGGTAAAATGGATACACTTTTCAAACCGCCGATTTACAAAAACTACTTATATGATGTTGAAAATAATTTCAGTATAACTTCACAGATGGCTTAAGTTTGTAAAAAGACTAACAGTTTTGCATTTTTTCGAATCTGTATTTTTTATCAAATTTTAATAGGGGTGTAAATTTTAACTGAGAATGGCCGTGTTAATTCTTTATTTAAGCCAAAGATTTTTCATATAAGAATATAAAATTTTGAGTCACAGGATCTTTAAGAGTATGTTACATCTTTAATTATAACATACCATCAACTAATGATGTTGTATTTTGCAAATATTTTACTGAGGATTTATTATATTTTCACAGAACCGAACAGACCTTCATCTATTGCTTATAAGCAATTCGTCATAAGATATGAAAATAGGAATTCTGTTTGCTCAAACATTTGGAACGAAAAGTTTGGAATTTTAAGGTTCAGTGATCGATAACATGTGAGATACAATGTATCCATGAAAACTGGAGTAACCAAAAAATCCGCCTGCTCATGCGTTCATTTTGCAATCTGATGAAACCACATGAAAAGTTCGGCTCATGCGTTCATTTTGAAAATTCGCTTAAACGATATTATACTCCAAAAATACGGAACAGAAATAGAACAGGCGTTTGGTGGATGAGGATATGTTAATAAAGAACCTTTAGAGCGATACAAATGTTTAGAAGTTTGCTTGTATGTCAAGTTATTGGCTATCAAAGAGCGATTTTACCAATTTTGTTACTTTTCTTGTGCAGTTGTCGATAATGATCTAATAAGTTAACAAAGATTTGGCAAGTTTGAGATGCCTGTCGGATAAAGTAATCATACGAGATCAGAATAGGCTATAAATATTTGTGAAATGTGCATTTTCAAAGAAATTGAAGACAATTTTCTTACCACAGTATCGGTTTTCCACCTGTAAAATTGATCTTTTCATGCGTTCTCCGCCTGGGAAACATAGTGAACGATTGGACTCGGTGTAATATGCTCTCGCCAGCTGTGGGACGAACAACAATGACCTGTGATAATTACAAGGTAATAAGCTGTTATTGATTTTCTTTTTATTGATATAAATACAATGAATAAATATAATTAGCAATGACTGGAAAAGATAAATAATATATTGTACTTTATGCCCATGGCAGAAGTTGAAATATGTCCATGTTATACAGAAAAGGGTATAACAAAACTCTAAATAACACACATTACAAAAAAGAAGAAGAAATAAATAGAAAAGTGTACCCATTAACTATAGACTTACATTCAAATATAGGACAGGATATCAAGGTTCCAATTTCAATTAATTGTTGTTGTTGTTTTCTTTTTATGCAGGTGTTGAGTTAAATTGACACCTGGAAGTTTTTCAGGAAGAGGAAAGTCTACGTAAATTATTTCAGGCACGAACAAGCACTTGAGTAGAACCACCGTCGTTCCGTAAGATGGTTGGATATCTTTCTCACACGAAAGAAATCCAAAGACCCTGTCAAGATTCGAACGCACAGCTATGAAGGATTAGTGAGTCGAAGTTTGTTTTCTTATGTTTGTATTAACGACGCACCAGCACATATGGCGGTGAAAACTGGCTAACACTGAGTGTTAAAAACTTTAAAAAGCAATACTAGGGGTCAAAGCAACCTTACCTGCTGGAGCTAAGAGATGCATAGACTCCAGTAATTCGAACCCATCTAGTCGCCTCTTCAATGATAAAGGCTGTAGTTCTTATGTCACAGCTCTTATAGGCAAGCCCTCTCCGTGGGGTTATTCGAAATACAGTACCTTAAACATTTTGATATTTTAAACAAAAATTACTCGTATGTTCAATAAATGAAAGAACGAACGAACTAACGGACAAACAGACAATAAATAAATAAATAAGACATAAATCAGTAAATAAAGAAATGAATAAATAAATACCTGTGCTCCAAGTGAATATTAATAGTGTCCATTTATATTTAGTAAAGAAATCCTTTATCTGTCGATAGCTGTCCGTCATTGTGATATACTGTATAAGATATTAAAAAAACACGTCACTGGACTGTTACTCTGAAATTAAGTAAGTGATTATTTATCAATAGGGATGTCATTCGAAGCCGAAACATCCATCCAGACACCCAGATACATCCGGATGTTCGGATTATTGTTTTATTCTTAGTTGACTGATACATGTAAGACGTAACCATTTTTCGCGACCTTTTTCAAAGTAAATTACGCCATTTTTCTTCCTTTTAATTGAATGTAAATTATCAAATATTTTTCGTTATTGATTTATTTCATTTCTAAAGAATTTTATTGTTATCGAGTCTGATAAATTTGGTGCGTACTCGTACGCTTTCAAAAGAAATGACAATAAAATTCATTGCCGATTGTCTAAATTCCTAGAATACACAACACTATTACACATGTTTAATGAATACTGGTTAACAAAAGTGGTTCTGGAAGATACCTGGCATAATGTTATAGGCTTGCGTCTTGGCTAAATTAATTATTTAATGTTTTTTCATTTTATCCGAGACTGATCGATACATCTTTGGTAGCCGATATTTTCTGAACCAATGTTAATAGTCATTAATCGTAACGAATAAAAAAAATCTAGAAATCGATCAGATTATCTATGCGGAGCAATGACAGGTGATTGATATAATTTACAGCTTATAATTAAGTCTTTAAATATTAAATTACTACGGAATCTTTTATAATTACATTGTATATTGATTCAACAGGTTTTTACGTTATCTGCAACAAACTGAAAATCATAGGATCTCAGATTAGAGCAATTGAACTTATCTCCTTTAATTTTCGTTGATGCTTCCTTTCTTTCTGTCTGTCTGTCTGTCTGTCTTGTTCGTTCATTCATTCATTCATTTATTCATTCATTCATTTATTGTAATATAGAAACATAGAACTTTATGGATATTTTAATTTCATAAATTTACAATACATCTTTACAAATTAACTCTTCAACTTCATAAATTAGCAATATTTATTTCTTGAATTCCCAAATATGCTCGTGAAGTTGGCAGCCTGGCAGCCTAGCAGCCTGAAGTTAGCAGCCCAGCAGCCAAACAGCCTGGCAGCCTAACAGCCTAAAGAAAACTAAGAATAGTACAAACATGAAAACAATCGGAAATACATAAGTAACACTTCTTTAGATCATTCCACGCCTTTTTCAATATCGTGATCTTTATTTTTTAAGATGTTGAACTTTATCTTAACATAATTTTTTCATTCTGACGCTTCGAAATTTGTGAAGTTAGCAGCCTAGCAGGATAGTACAAACATGAAAACCGTCGGAAATGAATCGGTAGCACATACTTAGACCATTCCACGTCTTATTTCAGTATCGCGATCTTTATTTTTTTTAAATATTGAACTTTGTTTTTTTTTATTTTGACACTTCGAAATTTGTGAAGTTAGCAGCCTAGCAGCCTAGCAGCCTAAAGAAAACTAAGGATAGTACAAACATGAAAACCGTCGGAAATGAATCGGTAGCACATACTTAGACTGTTTCACGTCTTAATCCTTATTTAAACAAGAGGGACATGATGGCCCTGAAATCGCTCACCTGTTAGAGGTCCCGTGTCGGGGTCAACTCCAACCCAGGTTTTTTTTTATTTGAACAGACTTGGTACACATCCGTTTGAAGATGTTTCATGATAAATATCTAAGCTCTAGCTATAAGATTTTTTTTTTAAAGTTTTTACAATACACATATAGGGAAAAAACAATGACACCCCCACCCTCTGGGCGGGGACCAATTTTGTCCCCAAGTGCTTTTACTTGAACAAACTTAGTAGTCACTCACTAGAAGATAGTTCATGCTTAATATCTAAACTCTAGCTCTTTGGGTTTTTTAAAGAAGATTTTTTTAAGTTTTTACTATATACATATAAGGAAAATCAATGATCCTCAGGGCGGGGCCAATGTTAGACCGCAGGGACCTTATTTGAACAATAAATGGTAAAAACCCATTAGTATATGTTTCATACTAAATATCTTAGCTCTAGCTCTTAGGGTTTTTTAAAAGAAGATTTTTTTAGTATTTACTATATACATAACAATATTAAAGATTCAATTGATAACTTATATATTGTGTGTGCGACACTTTGCGAACTTTCGAGTAGCGTCTTGAAAATTGGCATGCAAATAATTGACCATATTTCTGATTGGATTTCGTTGATTTTATTTCAATAGTTTCAGCCAATTTTTGAACACATGACGTCAAAGTTGACCATCAAAGCCCGTTTTTGAACATGACGTCGTTGCGTATCCTTGGCAACTGTTACGGGTATGTCAACGCCATTGGCGGACAAAATATCTTAAATCCTACAGCATTCGATGGAAATTATTTTTTCCTTTAAACAGATATAAACTTTATAGTTTTACGTCGAAAATTGTTTGAGAAATGGAAAGAAAATTGTCAATTTTGTGTAAAATTTGACGTTCAGTTTAGCCGCAATTTTCGGCTTTAAAGCGGCTCATTAAAAAATTCCTGAAATAAATTTTTGATTTTTTTCTTTAAACGTCCTTTAAAATGTATACTTAGTCAAAATAACTAAAAAAATTAGGGGGTCACCGACTCAATTTTTTCGGTACACGTGATTTTATTTCCCCCACCCCTTTAGATAAAAGTCGCGCTATCACGGGGCGTTTGGTTTTTTGATGTTATATATGTATATAGTAAAAACTTAAAAAAATCTTCTTTTAAAAAAACCAAAAAAGGGTTGAAATTATGCAACATGTAATCAATCACCTTTGTTGAAATTTGAAAAGTATAATATCTTAAGATATTTGAAATACTATGTCATCTCGGCTATATGTATAATACATGTATATATAATTTCACACTTTTACATTAAGTATTAAATTACAATCTTTATGCTATAAGTACGTTTCGCACATTTTATTTTTCTCTCAAGCAAATCTAAGATTCAAATATGAAACTTTCTGTTTCATTACAAACAATTGATACTGAAATGAATATTAAATTGTTAGAACCTATTTATAACCTGGATATCTTTCGTGTTTGTTTTTTCGATAGGCTTTCGTTTCGTTTTGTTCAGGTTATTATGAAAGGTGTAAACATTCTATTTGATCCATTAGTCATACTAAATATTTTACTATAATATATATTTTTCTCACCAAATTAAAACTATATATTACCACAGATATACATACGTCTATTCAACTCCATGACTCCATGATATTACTATTATCCTAAAAATGTAATATAGCCGTTTTCCATTATGTATTTGTATATGTTTATGTATGTATACTGCTGATGTTTCCCGCTATTGTGGGACTTGTGCATTTTGTGAATAAATTGAAATTGAAATAAAATCAACGAAATCCAATCAGAAATATGGTCAATTATTTGCATGCCAATTTTCAAGACGCTACTCGAAAGTTCGCAAAGTGTCGCGTTCTACCTTAATGACTAATTTCTGCAGTATCTATCACCATATTTCTGCTGCGTTACTAACGCAGTAGGGGCTATTTCTGCATATTTTGGCCTCCTTTTGGTAATTAACCCTTTCCCCCATGAGCATATTGTGAAAAATGGCCGTTTTCACTGAAAAGCCTCCTGTTCCAAGTTCAAACTGCTATGAAACTATGAAAAATGCTTCAATACTAATCAAACTTGGCACCAATGTTGACTGGACCATTGCCTTTGTAACGACATGCTCAGTCTTAAATTTCCTGTTACCATGGCAACGAGGGGACATCTCAAAATTGCCAAAAATCACTATTTTGCCTCGATTTTTTCCATCAAAATTTATTTCAAAGTGCTGTAACTGCTCAAGGGATTGAGATAGAGTCAAAGGCTTTTCAGCGTTGGTTAAACGTTACATTATGATCGACCTGGGGTCATTTTTAGCCTCTCACAAGTCCAAAATTTTCTTGGCGACATCCCCCTTCTGGCAACCCCCTGATGTATCTTTTGGATGGGGGACGGCGCCGAAAAAGTGCTCAATTTTTTTAGCAACATTTCTCAAACGAAAACTTATGTTGGGGGCCCAAATAGGACATTTTTTCACTATTTGAGGCTTAAAAAGGGGGAGGGGTCGAAAGTGCGTTGTTTCGCGTATGTATGTGGTAAAGGGTTAACGTGGATGGTAAATGCCTTTTGTAATGTGTAAATTACTTTCTTGGTTCACTGTACAATATTTTATTTTTTAAAAAAATTTTCAAATTTTTCATGAAAATTAGGATGAATCTGGAGGCATGCTGCTTTAAGAAAGGGCAAACATGAGTTTTAAAATGTTAAAATAATGGTTTTCGATCATATCACTGAATGTGAAATCATTTGTCATAAAAGTAGCAAAATGTAAAGTGGTATTTTGACTTCTATACAAGATACCAAATAACTAATTATACTAATAAGAAAAACAAGAGATTCAAAAGTTGTTTCATGTATTGTCCAGAGAGTAGAATTATGAAAAAACTTTAAAAGGACACTAAAAATAAAACTTTTTTTGAGAAATAAAAGTCCGGCCTTATTCCGAGAACCTTCTCCACTTGCATATGTAATTGTATGTGTATGCTTTATACTGTATTGCAATTTGTCATGCGTCCGTTCATTCTCATGGACAATTTAGTTTAACTGAATATTGAAATAAACTATAAAAGTATAAACTATAAAAGTATAAACTATTAAACTATTAAACTATAAGCTATAAACTATAAAACTATAAACTATAAACTATAAACTATATAAACTATTAAACTATAAACTATTTAACTATGAAACTATAAACTATAAATCTATAAACTATAAAACTATAAACTATAAAACTATAAACTATAAAACTATAAAACTATAAACTATTAAACTATAAACTATACAACTATTAACTATAAACTATTTAACGTATCTATTACGTTTACCTGTTGTATGTTAAATCAGCAATAATGATTCCGTTGGATTGATCTTTCATAGTATATCACGTCTCTTTATAAATCACGTTTGGAAGCTAAATCGAGGTGTCCG